ACAGAAGCAAAAAACGAACTCGAAATGAAAATGAAACTGAAACTGATGTAGACATTCACTGGAAATTACGTAAATTAAATTTGTTTTTATGGCAGGCAGACGCTTAAATGTATCCATCCCACATCCCACATCCCCCATCCTCCATCCCCATCGTCCATCTCTTCACCCACACACATAAACGCACTCTGAGCTTAATAAGCGCCACACATACACACTCAGACACACACTCACACTTGCATGCGAACCCCAAAAAGTTGAAATGAACACGAAAAAATCAAGACAGAAATATGATACTATATGACAGATCGAAGCTTTGAATACACTTACAGAGGCACATTCCTACGAGGATCCCACAACATTCCATTCCATTCCATTAACTGTCAAAGTTGCTTAAGATTATGTGAAGAATAATATCGGAATAAGAGGGTTTCAAGGTAAGACTACTGTTCGTGTAGTTCCAGAACATGACGATTCAATTTCTCACTCTGAAGATATAATTATCACTGATATATACATGTGCACATGCAAGTGAAAATCGAATAAGTCTACCGAAACTTCAGCGTTGATTTTTTTTGCTAATTATCGCAGGATGTCCGCAGCTTCTCGAAACTTTATGCCCCGAAAACAAAGCACTTCACTTCACCCATTCGCATATGCATAAAAGAGTTAGCATAGTGTGGGAAATGGCAACATCGAAATGCCCACTAAAAGGGTATCGAAAATAAAAAGGTACAGAAAACTGAGCAGAGCCCAGAACCGGACCGAAGGCAGCCTTGGGGCCAAGCCTTTTGTGGGTTGGGGGAGGGGCTGTAAAGAGCTGTGGGAGTCGAGAGAGTGTGGTCGGAGAGCAGAGAAATGTGAAATAAGGACGCAACGGAGAGGCGCTAGTCCTTTGGGTCATGCCCAGGCGCTTTTCGGTTGCTCCGTTAATAATGAGAAGGCAAACTGCAGGACATGACGGAAGATTAGAACACCAGGCTGATGGGGTAAGGGTGGCCTGCAAAGAAAGAGGCAAGGGGAGATGGGAACATTGTTACACAGTTTGGTCAGTGGCTTTATCAATTTCTAGTTTCGTGACTCTATGTTAAGGCTGATGCGGTGATGAGTTAAGAGTCGAAAAGGTATTATCTTCCCCTGTCAGGCTGGGACTGAGTTTTAATTGCACCCAAATCCATTTTGAACATTTAATCGTTTTCCATTATAGCATTCCCCGCATCTGTACCAGAATAGTTTACCTTTCCTGGGTCTTTCAGCTTGCCTCTGAGCATATTTTGTTTATTTAATTGTTCCATAATATCCCTTTAAAATAAAACAATGAAATAGCAGTTCTAAAGCAGTTTTTGCTCAACATCTTTCAACCTTTGTGTCACCCCCATCAACTGCGATAATCATGGAAAAAGTTGCGAAATCTTGAATCATGAATTACTTAATTTGTTTACTCCTTGCTGGAACGTTTCAACAATTGAAATATCTCAGTTCCAACTTGCTTTACATGGGGCCAAAAGCGCCAAATCCCCCTGCACCCTGGCATGGAACCAACGCCAGAAAAGCAGATTTAACAGGCCGGCACCTGTGACACGAGCCCCCGAGAGTTTCGCCTCTTTTGTTGCTCCATCCCCCCTATCCTATGGAGAAAGATGTATAGATGTCTATGCCCTTGCCCCGTTTTATTTTCGTCAGTGTAAGGCAGGAGGAGGAGAGGGAGAAGAGATAGGGGGCTATAGAGCCGCTTTTGTTTGCAACTCAAATTGAAGGCTTCTCGTAACTTTCAATGTCGTTGTGCGCAAACTGGCAAAAAGTTTCATTTACAAGAGGCGGTGGAAACAACCACCAGAAAGACACCAACAACAGCAGAAACACCAACAAAACAACAACAACAACAATGAAAATGCCCAGCGCAAATATCAATGATATGTTTGTTAAAAAACACGACAAGGACAACGAGGACCTTTTGCAAGTGTCGAACCAGCCGTTCGCCGTTCGTTCCATGAAATAAAGACTGACATTTTTGTTGTGCTGGGCTTTCTCTTCGAATACCCTTTCCTGTGGTCATATGTACACCCAAGAACTACACAGAAGACCTCATCAGGAACCATCGACCCAATGAGATTCCAGAATTTCCTTTTCGTTTTCCTCGATTTCGGTTTATTTGACAACGCTTTGGTAAGTCCCCTTGGCCCCTTCTTGTGTCCGCCCGACTGTCCGGCCAGCCGGTTGGCCGGGAGAACAGCCATAGAAGAGTTGTCAGGGGGCGGCGAAACTGTTGTAACCAGTCGACGTCGGGCGCTACTCCTTCTTATACCCCCGACAGAAGACAGCCGACAACTGACAACCTCAGAGGCGGCCAATAATTGTAAATTAAAATTGAAATGAATGAAAGCAAATTGAAGAGGGAAATGGTAATGATGGCAACAGCAGATACTTACTCCCTTACTCCTGAAGGAAGAAGGAACACCCAAAAAATAAAGGGGGTGGCAGGGTCCTTGTGGACCATAGACATGTTTACCGTGTGTCCAAGGGAATGCGAACAGGAAGGAGCAGGGAGCTAGGTGGAGACTGCACAGTGTCCATAGGGTCACTAAACGGAAAGAGGCCACTGATATGGCCGCAGTCTGATCCAAAGGCTATCCCTAGACCCTAGACCCACAGTGCGTATTATTGTTGTCCTTCTTCTCCTCGTCCTCGTCCTCCTCCTCCCCGGAGTCGTGTGGCTAATGGGCAACGCTTTGCCTAATTCCCAAGCCCCAACTCCGCGCAGAGACCGCTGTCTTGGACGCTTTTGTTACATTTAACTAATGCATTGTGCCTTCGCATAATGCCCGCAACCATACGGACGCATAGGACACACAGGACACACAGAACACACAGAAACACAGGCACACAGATGGTCGTACAGATATAAAGCGACACGCTGGGAGGCCATTGAAAACACTCACACACACACCAGTTATTGCTGTCGCTATTCAGAACCAGAACCAGCACCAGCACAGTGGCAGGAATGCAAGGGGAAGACTTGTGATTGGCAACGTGCACCAGCTCACTGGTAATGTATAACGATTAACGCAGCAAAAAAAACCTCAAAATGATTTACGTTGCTCTACTACAGATACAGAGACTACAGATCTCTCTTGCATTGATTATAGAAACCAAACAGCGATGGATCTTGCGTACACAAGCCATGAAACAGCACTCATGCTTCGATATATATTCTTTTTTTTTCCTTGAAGCTCCAGCGATGATTTTTGAAGGCAATGGGCCGGTGCCCACTGTGGCACAAGTAATGCGCCACGTTGATGTGCCGCAAGGGTCAAACCCAAATGGCAGTTCCCTTGCTCACATCCACATACACCAATAGAAGAGACAAGCAGACAAACAGACAGTTACAGACACAGATACATTTGGAGGAAGAGTGTAACCACCGCAATGTGGGGAGGGTGTTAGGAGAAAGGGGAAAGGGAAACGGAAATGCGGCTGCAAATGTAATTTTGGGTAAAAGTGTCGGGCATGGGTCTCGCTCTCGCTCTGAATGGCTAATAAAATTCGTAATCGATCCGGACTTCAACTCGTTTGCCAGCGCATCAATCAATTATCATTTTGGAGGGTCTACCTACCGCCCTACCACCCTCCTCCCACCACCCCCCTACCCATCCCACTCCGTTGCATGTCGCACTGAAGTGTATCAATTTCGATTTGATTTCGTGGTGTGAAAATTGGGACGGTACGGCACGTCACGGCACGCGACTCTGCTGCTGAGCGCAGCGGGACGCCTGCCCCATGCCCGCACAATCGCTGGCGGCCCATCCCGATCCCTGCTCCCTGTCCCATGAGGCAGAATAAATCAATTAGCATTAAGGCGAACAACGTAAAAAAAACCAAGGCAAACGGAAAACGGCGAAAAATCTGTGCAAATCATTGCCCGAAGGACAAACACTTCACTTATTGTTATCCCAGGCACATAAATAATTGTCGCCAGGAGAGGAGAAGCGCAGGACAGAGCAGAGCCGAGCCGAGACAGGCAATGTCAATGGCAATGGCGAGAGAATGCGAATAAACAAGCCGGAAAGGCAATTAATTGTATAAATTGAAGCAATTAAAATCGCCAAACGGGCACCAGAATGTGAGGCGCGGGATACTCGTACCCCTGCAGGTCGATCGTTCATTCGATACACAGAAAAACATATCGGATTGCCAGTAAGAACAAAATGGCGATAGACAAATTTAATTTACTTATTTGTTGTTTGGTTGCTGCTGCTGCCTGACATGCTGGAGGAGGGGCTGAAGCTCGTGGGTTGCTGTCCAATGGAAGCAAGCGCCAACGATCCGAGAAGGGCCTGCAGATGGAGACATCAACCCCGATCCAGATATATGTGGGTCCACATTTTCCAAACATGTTTTTCTGCCTACACCTTTCGTGTGGTTTTTATTCCATCGGTTATTCGAGATGCTAAAATACATTACGGATATGCATAATGAATGCTGTCAGCAGGAGTGGCGAATGTTCTGTGGCAAGTGCGACTCCCCCAACTCCCCCAAAAGCAAACACTCTTAGTCGCCACAGCAGCGACATTTATGCGTGTGTGAGTGCCACGAAAGTGGTTGCCGCGCCCATCGGACACTCCGAGCCCGGCAGGCCGATTCGATGCACAACATTTTTATACCCTTCCAAAGAGATTTGAAAGTATCTGCTGTATTCCCGAATCCCCTCGCATCCGACGAGCACGACCAGCTTATTCCCTCATGTCACATGTACCGAGTGGATCATGTGAGCGCTAACAGTGCGCTGTAGCCACAGGCTGTTAACGGAGATTGGCTCGGGAGAGCGGTAACAGACTGTTAAAGCAGCTCTGTAACAGGGAGCGATAACAGGCTCATGTTAATCTTGGGTAGATTTCTTTTGGATTTCGCTAACAAGCATTAAAACTTTTCTCTTTATTAATATGCAAAAAAAAAAAACGATCAGCTTGAGAAAATTGCTATATGATCTACAAGATTGCGATTGATCCTAAAACTATCAGTAATGAAATATGTTAGTCAGTCCATAATCATGCAAAATGCAACTGACTTCTCCCTTAATTGCACTCAGTCATCATTGCACTCACTTATAATACATATGTGCATACTATGTGAGCAGTTCGTGCACCTCGAGCAGGTTGCTGGGCAACTCTTTGACAACTCGAGCCAGATCAGAGACGGGACAGGCATAGAGGTAGCCCTTCTTCAGGTTGCTCAGCTTACTCTTCTCGTTGCCTTTGGAGAGCCAGCGCAGCCAGGGAACCTGCTCCTCTATGCGGTCACAGATGACATAGGAATCGTGGATCTGGGCGAGCGTTGCATGGGGATTGTTGACACCCACCAGTGCGATGCCGCGCCGCGGCTGTGCCTTGTCGATGAGTACGCGATAAAAGAGACTTGGCACTGCCATCACATTTCTGTTGTTGGCATCCGTGGCCAGGTGGAGACCGACGCTGGGATTCTGCGGCAGTGGCATCTGGCCATAGGTGCCCGTATAGACATTGACCGTGATGCCAGAATTGGCCACAAACTTTCGTGTGGCATCCTCCAGATTGGCCCACAGTCCACCATTGAAGATCTGCCATTGGGGCGCCGCGTTCATGTAGTTGAAGCTGCTGCGCTGCTGGCTGGCATAGATCAGATCCGCCTTGGCCACCAGATGTCCACGTGCCAGGAACATTCCCGTCTTTTGGTTCATAAGCTCACCCGGCGAACCCCCCAGAAGGCTCTGCTGATGGCTGAACGAGTAAATCTTTTCCATGTCATAGCCCTGGAAGTGCCCGGCAGGCCTGAACTTAGACCGCTTCACCTTCATCTGGTAGTGCACGCTGGCGGGGCTCATCTGATGGAAGGCATAGTGTGTGCGCAGTGTATGGGGATCGTGGCACAGCTCCATAGTCTGCACAAATCGCCCATCCCCGACGTCATAGCCCACGCGATACAAATGCGACTGATCCAAAGCCCTGATGCCCCTGCAGCGGCTCTCCATCTTCTCCACGGTGTAGTTTATCGACTGCGAGCAAACAAATTTGCGAAACTCGAGCTTTGAGCCGTCCCACTCGAAGTGCGTGTCGTGCAGACACTTGACCTCCATGGATTCGAGTCCTGTGCTCATACCCGCCATCGTATCATATCCGCAGTAGAGCTCGATGGCACTGCCGCGTGGTATCTCCAGCTGGCCCTCCGCATTGGGCAGCCAGTATTGTGTCGTGTTCGGGCGAAGGTAGAGGGGCTGGACCTGGTTCGGTTGGGGCAGATCCTTTTGCACGTCCACTTTGCAAGGTGAGGCTGAAATTTAGGCGAGGAACTGCTTAGTCAAATTTGCTTTTAACTTTAGAGGTAACTTTTTTCTTAATGGTTAGTATTTGCTTTGCCTCGAACATATGTTTTTATATTTGCTGGCCAACTCTTTGACAAAGCTAATGGTCGAGAGAGAGGGAGAGAGAGAGCTTAAAGTTGCGATAAAAGTTGCTCTCATATCGACTCACCTCGCTCCAAGGCCGTCCCAGTGCCGTCAATATGCAGTCCATCGAATTCTTGAATGATCTGACCCACATCTGGACCGGGTGTTATCGCCTCACGTGCCCGAATCTCTCTCAGAATCACGATCGACGCGATTAACGAGATAAACAAAACACGCACCGAAATATTCATTTTTATTTTTTGTTCCCCGAGCAGTGCGTGGCCACTCCGGTCGCTAGTCGCTTTCTATCTGAAATATTTCTTGAGTCGACAGGTGATTTTATTCTCTTTTACTCCCGCTCTCTCGCTCACTTTATCTCTCTCTCTCTCTCTCTCTGCACAGCACTTCTCCATCTTTCTCTTTTCTGGTTGATTCTTGATTCTGTAGCGTGCAGGTGTGGGATAGATGTATTTGTTACCCAAACTAGTACCAAGAGATTTCGTGTGCCCCTCTCTAGCTATGCTCTAGCTAAGCTCGCCGGATTGTCGGGGTTCGTTCTACTCTCTCCTACATTATGTACTGACTGAGACACACTCGCATAATGTTTTAGGTGCACATTTAAAAAGAATCAAAAATCAAATGCAGAATACGGGTTAAACTGGACTGAATGTATGGAAAGTGGATTAATTATTTGTTTGTTGAGAAAAAGGGGGATGATGATATCAACTACTCTATTCAAGTCACCGGAAACTCAGTTGTCGTCGAGAATCCCTCTTCTCTACCCTCCCAACCTATGCTATACTGGTAAATCGAACCGTATAGACCCTAGAACAATCAGGCAGTTTTCATCCTACCACTTCGACCTTGCTTGTCTGAGGACGGACGTTAGGATTTAGAACATATTAAATCTGCGTTTCAAAACAAAGGCTTCTTTATATATTTCCATGACTTCCTATTATTATAATTCAATATCTTCGAAATTTTCTTAACCTACAGGGGCATTCATATTACGGCGATCTAGCCCACTTAAAATGTATACTTATTTTAGCTTATAAGAATGTTTTCGCAACTCCTCGCAACCAGTTCGGAATAAAAATCTCGAAGCAAAAAGCCAAGTGCTGCTGGTTCGACCGAGTCGGAATTCAATCAAGTTAATACTCTCCTTCTTTCAATTTCGCTATTCACCTATTACATCCATGTTCTTCCTCTTTGTCTATCGATATTCGCATATTACATGTATGTTCTATAGCAACAATCTTCTGTAAGTATGTCTTAATGCTACAATTCAAATTCTTAATGCTACAAATTCATTTTACTTATATCCAAATAGTAATTGCTCCCGGCCATAAGCCCTTTGCGCAAATTTGGCGTAAACAAAGAATTTAAGAATTCAAGAATTTATATACGAATATAGTGGCGTCAGTAAGTATACGGACTAAGGATCAGATGTGGTTAATAGAATAAAGAGGGGGTGAGAGGTATCAACCCATTACGGCTATGATTAAATATTTAGTAACACGCAGGTTACGTTTATACTCTGTGCATATACTGTTTTAAGATTACAAACTCACTGTTTTCTTTTGGTTGTGGTATTTGAATACCCTTACTCCATTCGTAGTCGTTGAGCTCAGGGATGACGTAGGTGCTGGTATCTGGGGAAAAATAGAAGGTTTTAACAATATACGCACACGAGTGTACCTGCAAGTACGATTTGATAATTTCAATGAATTATTTCATACCCACTCTTTTCTACAAGCACGCATGATTCCCGATGCTTGAATAAACATATACATAACTGCCAGAGAATTGGCCTTAAAATGGCATATTGAACTTAGTCCCAGGAAATGTGCAAATTAACACAGCATAACTCCGGACATCTATCCTGCTGTTGGCGCTGGCTCCTCTGTAGTCAATTCCGTCAAAATCACGCCCAATTTTCTAGCTCTGGACACTGGGCTAAAATGTGGAACATCCGGCTTGATGTCGATCTGCCGCTTACATAAGCACTAAAGTGCGCGACAAACTGGTCTTCTCACTGGAGCTGGTGAGTGGTTCCGAGGCGCCGCCTTACGCGCTGGGCTTCCTAAGGGTTGCTACGCCTCACTAAAGTTGGCCCAAGTCAGAGGTTTTCGGGGCTCGGCGTTTCGGAGCAGAAGAGGGGGGAATCGAATTCTACCCCTTGTAGATTGGGGCATCACTTCGGTGATAAGACTTGCCACAATCACGTCTGGTTTTGTCGATCGACTGCTTGCTAATAACTCTAGCAAAACTCATCCCAGTGAAGCTAGGCTGTACCGAACATAAAGCTCGAAGATCTGATGACGTTTAAGAGCTTAAACGGGACAATCGTATGTTCCTTCGCTGCATTGAGTGGAATTTTTATGCTCTCGAAACCTTACTCTCTTTTTAAAGATAAGCGCACGGCTCTCGCTTGCATGTGCTAACACTGCAGCGACTCTCTTTCGTAAGCTTGGCGCACAGCTCGCGCTTACGCTCCACTTTCGGAGTTCTCTTTCTTACATATAGGTATATATGTACATACTGTACAGACTGTGACATCGTTGGTGAGTGTCTTATCCGCATGCATTTATTTGTCCTACACCCATTGCCCTACACGATCGAGGTTGAGTGTGAGCTCTTTGTGCAGTGTGCCAATAAAAAAAGAGATATTTGCGAGCCAATCCAATTTTAATATAATTATTACAATACTGAAATACAATATTTATTTCTGAATTACTGAAGACTCTACTCTTGAAAAGAAGAAACCATGGAGCTTGGACCTATTTCCAACAGAATTTAAACGAACAGTTTAAATGTGGAGCGCTGCTGGCAATTTTTGAACGCAGTCCAGGCCCTACCCCACTACGTGGCAGCGGTAGCTGGCATCAACAGCTTGGGGCGAGGGTAAGCGCTAAGCCGCAAGCCCACACCCCCACCCCCGTGTCGCACACTCCTGCCACGACCATTCAACCGAATTGATTGTGGCAGACGCAGCGCTTGTCCAGAAACAAGTACACAAAAAATAACCGAGCGGGCTAGAGAGCGGGAATAGGGAGTCTCGTGAACATCCCAGAGATGGATATTTCATTCCAAATGATGTACATCAAAGTTCACCTGAAGCATATCCACAAGGAGCAGGTCTATGTACGTACATACATACATGCATATATGGAGCAAAAGGGAGCGAAAATCGGCATGAGGGAACTTCTGCACCAAAAAAGAAGATATGGTATAATCTTTGATTAATAAATGTTGATTATTCAAATTCAAAATCTGAAAAAATATTTAGCAAGAAATGCCTAAAAATATGCAAAATATACGCATATATGCGTGTTCGCCACTGCGCCCTCTGCGAACAGTGAAGAAATCCCCACAGAGGGCGCTGACGTGCTATTTATAGCAGCTTTTCGAACAAAGCTTTGACAGGTAGAGGGCGCTTAGGAAACAAACAAAATACTAATGTACAAAGTAGTAGTGCAAGCAGTAACCAATGGATGGAGCTGATGAAAGATGCATGTCGTAGAAACAAATATATTTACATGTAGTTAGGTGTGTATGTCCTAGAATAATGTAATACAACTAAAATAATGTAATAAGTTTTGATTATTCTTTGTTTTGTAGATTTGATACATAACGTTTTAGTTGCATGTGATCAAAAATATATGTGTTTCCGTAACTCCTCGCAACCTGTTCGGAATCCAAGTGTTTCCAAGTGTTCGACCGAGTCAGAGTTCAATCAATTTTATAATGTTCTATTAGCTAGGGCAATCTCTTCCTCTTCCTCTTTCTCTATCGATATTCACATATTAAATACATATTCTACTGCAATAATCTTCTGTGAGTATGCACTGTACGTACTTTCAATACAATTCCATGTCTTCTTGCTTCAATATCTAAATGCTCCAAACTCATTTTACTTACACAAATTACTAATTTGCTCCCGGCCATAAGCCCTTTGCGCTAATTTGACGTGAACACCAATGCTAAAAACTACATAAGAATTACAAGTTGTGGGGATATCCATAACGCCTTACAGTAAATTAATTTAAATTAGAAGTGCATTTTAATTCTTAAAATAAAGAAGAAAAATTACAACTTTCTAATTGAACCAGCTCTCAATCAATGGCAATGACCTCTCATAGATAATCCAACGCCGCCATCCGATAATCCCCATCTGGCTGGAGGGGGGCTGTAGTCAGATCCGCCACCACGTCCGCTTGTGTTTATTTGTTGTTGTTCTTTGGCAAACGGCGTTAACATGCTGCTGCCGGCGTGGCACCAGTCCCAGCCCGAGGGCAGTGTGTCAGTGCAGGCGTCGGGAGACGATATCGGTAGCCGAAACAACAAGCAATGATTATTGTTTATTAGAATAACAATATGACAAAACAAATGCCCAAAGCTGACACGTTTATTAATGGCCATAAGGCACCTACAGCGCCATCTCCATCTCCATCTCCATTTCCACCACCAACTCGTTCACGGGTTCTCGGGGTTCATTCACTCACATTAATTGCCTGGCGCATTACTCGAATCCTTGATGGTGAGCCTGCTGGTTGAGCTTCTGCTTATTATTTAATGAATGCATGCATTGATTTTTAATGATTTTATTAGCAATTAATTGTGATTGCTGTTGGCACAGCTGCTTAAGCCAGAGGTGCTGCTGCCAGGGGATCCCAAATGGAATAAATCATCGGTGAACGAGCTTCGGAACAGCGATTGATTAGCGATTGATCAGTGATTGATCAGCGAATGTTCATGGATAACTGCTAATCGAATTAATATTAGAGTTTCTCATAAAAGAATCTGCAATAAGTCAATCAGAGGCCCATTGCATTCCCTTGATCGATGAAACTTTCCAGATCGATGAAGTGAACTTATCTCGCGGACTCCATAGGGGATCATAATAGGGGGCAAGAAATAATAACACCACGTTTTGCGTTCGGTAAACAACAAAAACATCAACTGCAAAAACAAAAGGTTTAATCACGCAAAAAAAGTAACGCATTCCGATGAAGTGATTCTATATAAGCTCTAAATTTGTGCATGACAGTGGCATTAGCGCAATTCGTCGTGGGGGCGGTAGCCAAAGGTTGCTTCAGCGACTGATTGATTGAATGGTAGACCATCAGACGGACTAACAAAAAGACAGACTGACAGACAAACGGACAAGCAGACAGACCTTTCATATTCATTCGAGAGACTCTGGTAGATTTGGGTCCAGAGGGTCGGAGGCACACAAGTAACGATTAATCGATTAGCTACTATTTGACACCCGAACAATTATC